GTTAGCATTCCCTCTTGTCATTTGCCCTGACTACTGCAAATTATCCAATCAATTATCGATTAATAACAGTACAGTATTCCAATAGTCGCTTTCTTTTTAAAAGAACTTTGGCTGTAAATCAAGAATTGATAGTGACTCTAAATCACTGGTGGCTCACCTGATATGCTTGCCGCTTAGCTCTTGCTGATGCTGGATTTGTTTCTGGAGGCGATAGCGGATGCAAATATGGTGTAGTAGGCTATAATCATAAATAAAGTCTTGTATTCACTTGAGATTTCCAAGTAGGACCTACTTCGTTAGAGAAGAATGATAGTGAAAACGCATCTAAGGCGTTGAAAAGCGCCACTGATATCAGTAGCGCCTTCATTGTGTAGACCCTATAAATATGGGTGGTGTAAGTGTGAAGCACAACTGGTATGGAGATAGGTCACAGACTGAACGATTGCAAGCTTGGCCAGATGCCAATCGCGTCAATCGCTGTAGCATAAACGAACGCAGCACGTATAGTATAAACAAAGGAGAAGACACGTACATACGGTATCATACTCCCCTCAATCTCAGGCTATGAGAGGAGAGGGCAGAAGGCGCAAAGACGCAGTCTACACTCAAATACGAGAAATACGAGGCATATTTGCACAAAACACTCGCAATGATAGGGGCAATTAAGAGTGATTGAACATTTTTCTGCACAAAATCGAAGGCAATCGTCAAGGCGGATGTCCTCAGAGGAGCATTCGTTATAAGGTGGGCAAAGAATTACCTACTGCTGGTATAATACAGAGTTTGATAAAGTACTGCTTTTTAGGTTTTGTATCCTTCTCAAACAGATCACCCTAACAGACTCTAGCTTTTTGGATTGCTTTTACGGATTTTGTATCCTTCTCTAAATCATCGTAGTAGACTACTTTTTGGATTGTTTTGCGGTCAGAAAGTAGTTTGCACTTACACCCTTCTGTATAGATTTACCTTATTTTATCAAAAAACAAAGAAAAAAAGTGAGATAGGCATTTGAAAAGTGGTTGCCAATTCGTTGACTTAAGATAAAAATATGCTTGCAACAAAAAATCGTGGATTATCCTGATCCTCCTACTTTCATAAACTAAACAAAATTATATTTTTTAAAAATCGGTAAATCAAGTATTTTATGCAACAAATTTTAGAGACACAATGTTTCA